GGTAGAGAATAATAACAATTATCACTTTCTTAGTGCTTACTATAGTATGCCAATTACTGTTCCAACGGTACATTATCAACTCATTTAATTTTACAATCATCTCAGAAGACACTATCCTATTATAATTCATTTTACAGATGGGAAAATTGGGAAACAGAAAAACTAACTTGTCCAAAGTCTCGCAGCAAGCTAGTGGAAAGACTGGGGAATTATTAATGTACAAAATGTGACATTACACACAGCTGCATACAAAAGCAACTATAGGACAAGGAAGACTGTTCTGCCCCATAAAATGATGTCTGCTGGCTTTTTAAGTATAATATGAAATCCTTGTTCCATCTGGAAACATCAGAATGTCTCTTCACACCTTCTCTCTCCCAACCTCACACACACACACACACACTCCACCCCACGCCCCTCATGGAAGTTGCAGGTTCTTCTGACACGCAGGGAAGCCAAGAAGCTAATTAAGCTTGAGCAAATAAGCAAGCTCGCCTCTTCTGCTCTGGGAAACTAGTGGTGAAAGAACCTGACTTTCCAGGGAGCTGAGATTCATACTAACACCAAGTACCAAGAGGAAAGGTGTAGCATCAAGGTTACCTTGTACCGAAGGGCTTGGTGAATATCAGCAGCCAGCTGTCCCCGCCACCACTGCCCCTCCAGCTCCATGGGACCGGGCGGCGCGCCTGGCCAGACGAGGCAACTTCAGTCTGCAAGACAGACAGACCCCAGACGGTCACTGCCAGCTCCCTCCGGACGACCCCGCGGCCCCACCCGGAGGGGTGTGACCTCAGGCCACCCTAAGTGTCTGCTCCCCTCCACCTGCCTCATCCCAAAGCCAGCAGGTTCAAACCCACTCCCTGCCACCGCCGCACGGGGGGCTGAGCTCCCCAGTCCGAAGGCACTGGCTTATTCCGAAAACCGACCGGGCACTTGGGTGTCGGGAAAATGAGACTAACTGGGGCCTGGGGCCCGAGTCCCTCTCCCCCCACCCCCCTCCACGTGGACCCGGGTGCGAGCTGGAAAAGGAGCGGCTCCGGGCTCCCCGAGTCTGGGGGTCGAGTGCGCCCCGAGGAGCGGAGAGACCTGACACCCGTCACAGCCCACTGAAGGTGGAAACCGCCCGCGGAGGAGCCCGGAGGCGGAGGCTGCCCAGCGCCGGGTCCCGGCTGCCGACGGCCGGGCGCTCGCTCCTCCCCGGAGGCTCCCCGCGGCCCGGCCCGCACCAGGCCGCCTTCTCCCCGTCCCGAGGGGCGCACGGTGTCGCGCGGCCCCCGAAAGGCGAACAAAAGGCCGAGCCGGACGGGTGTGGGGTCCGGCGCCCAGCCCAGGCCCGCCGGTCCCGCGGCGGCCTCCCTTACCCGGAACCGAGGCCCTCACAGCCCCAGCCCCGCCGGCGTGCGGGGGACGCCGGCCCCGCTCATGATGCTGCAGACAGTCGGCCGCGAAGCGCCGGCCTCAGCTCGGACCCAGCGCCCGGGCGCTCCTCGCACCGCCCATTGTTAAAGGACCGGCTGGCGGCTCCGCGTACAAAGCCAGCGCGGGGGCACCGCGGCCCGCCGCGGCCAATCCCGTCTCGCGATACAGCGGGGTCACCCCGAGCCGTCCAATCGGCGGCCGGCCGGGCCCAGGTGCAGCGCCGGGCGCCGGCTCGGCTGCCGGGGTCGCGCGCTCGCAGCGGCGTCCCCGGCCGGCCCGGCACGACCCCGCGCCCCGCACGGTCCGAGAAGCCTGCCGGCGGGGTGGGCAGAGGTAGGAAGAGAGCACCCACCGGGGAAGGTAGAACGTTGGCCCATCTTTCGGACGGCCAGTCCAGTCATGCCGCTCACCTGCAGAGAACCGTGGATGGCTCCTCATTCTGGCAGAGTGATGGCCAAGCCTCCGGTTGGCGTTTCAAACCTCTCACAGGCCCCCTGGTCGGGGTGGCTCCGTGGGTAGAGCGTGGATCCGAGCACCAGAGGGTCCCGGGTTGGTCAAGGGCATGTATGTGGGTTCCAAGTTCAACCCCCCAGCCCCGCACCCCAGTCAGGGCGCTTGCGGTAGGCAACCAATTGCTGTGTGTCTTCCAGATGTTATTCTCTGTCTGTCATCTCTCCCCCCTGCCCCTCCCCGCCCTTTCCACTGTCTCCAAAATCAATGGAGAAGAAATCCTCCGGTGAGGATGAACCCAAAAACCAGCAACAACAAATCCTTACAGCATGGATTCAGAATGCCTCATCTCACAACAGTCCCTTACATCCTATGGACTGCTTAGCGGAATTACCCACTCCTCCATGTGCTTTTGTCATTTCGAAAGTCCCGAAAGCTTTTTCTCTTGCCAAACTCTGCTGTCTTTTAAATTCCACCTTAAAACCTACTCCTTCTTCTAGAAACCTAAATAATCTCTTCCCCTAGCTTATTTCCTTTGCTTTAGAGACTCCTAAAAGCTTTGAAAGATTACCTTTAGTAACCTAGTTTGTCAATTCCATAGTGGATGTCATTAACCACCTGTGGTCCTAAATCAGGAAACTAGGAAAGTGTGGAAACACTCCAACATCAATTAAGATAATGTGGTCCCGGTCGGCATGGGTCTGTTTTTCGATGGTCTTAGGTGACTCCTGCTAGTGGTTCTCAACTCAGCCCAGCCTGCACCCTCTCCAATCTGGGACCACTCGGGGGATGTCCGACTGCCGGTTTAGGCCCTGGGATCAGGCCTAAATTGGCAATTGGACATCCCTCTCACAATCCTGGACTGCTGGCATCTAATTGCTAACCTGCCTGCCTGGTCACCCTTAACTACTCTCCCCTGCCGACCTGGTCGCTCCTAACTGCCCTGCCCCTGCCAGCCTGGTCACCCCTTACTGTCCCCCCTGCTGGCCTGGTCATCGCCAACTGCATGCCCCCTGTCAGCCTGGTCGCCCCTAATTGTACTCCCTGCCAGCCTGGTCACCTCTTACTGCCCCCCTCTGCCAGCCTGGTTGCACCTAACTGTGCCCTCTGCCAACCTGGTCGCCCTCAACTTCCCTGCCTGCTGGCCTGGTCGCCCCCAACTGCCCCTCCTCCCCCTGCTGGCCTGGTTGCCCTTCAAGCTCTCCCCACCTCCCATCCCCCGCTAGTCTGGTTGCCCCACGCAGTCTGCTTGTTCAGTGATTTGGTCGTCGTTCAGTGATTTGGTCGTCCCTCACCAATCCCCCTGCTAGCCTGGTCATAGGCGGCCATCTTGTGAGGGTGTGAGGGTTAATTTCATATTACCTCTTTATTATTTAGGATTATATCACAATATCACATCTCCCTAATGTGAGTGGCCCTAGTTCAATAAGTTGAAAGCCTGAATGCAACAAAAAGTCTTATCCTTCTGTGAGTGAGAGGGAACTCCTCCTGCCTGATTGCTTTGAGATGGAACAAAGGTCTTTTTGGATCTTCAGACTCAAACTGATATAATAGCATTTCATGAATTTTAAGACTGCCAGCTTTCAGACTGGAAATTATACCATTGGCTCTCATGAGTCTCCAACTGGAGATCTTGGGACTTCTTAGCTTCCATAATCTTGTATCCAGTTCTTTATAATAAAAATCTCTTTATACAAATACAGTCACATGCTGCATAATGGCATTTCAGTCAATGATGGACCACATATATGACAGTGGTCCCATCCTGTATAATAAAGAGCTAATATGCAAATGGTCATCACACTCTCATGCTATCATGCTGTAACAGCTCAGACACTCAACTCTGGGGAAAGAGGTTGGGGGACCAGCCAGGCACAAATGAGCTCACAAGAGAGGAATGGAGACCAGCCAGGCTGCAGCCTGGGAGAGGGACAAGCCTCCTCCCCTTGGTCCCAGGTGCTAGTGGCTGCACCTGCACCTGTGGCCTGGGAGAGGGACAAGCCACAGCCTCATGGTCCCGGCTATGTGGCTATGACCCTGGCAAAGCTGTCTGCCCACGGTCCCCTGCGGCTGCAGCTGCGGCCGGCCCAGGCAAAACTGTCTGGGTCCTGGGTGCCTGCAGCTGACCAGAGGGAGGGAAGCCCGGGTCCCGTGTGCCTACAACCAGCTGGAGGAGGGATTCCTGGGTCCTGAGTGCAGGATGAGGCTGAGGCTATTGGGGGTGATCAGGCCAGCAGGGGAGCATTTAGGAATGATCAGGCTGGTAGGGGAGCAGTTAGGGGCAATCAGGCAGGCAGGCAGAGTTGGTTAGGGGCGATCAAGCAGGCAGAAGTGCTTAGGGGCTATCAAGCAGGGGAGTGGTTAGGAGCCAGCAGTCCTGGATTGCAAGTGGCAGTTGGACATCCCCCAGGTGGTCCAGGACTGGAGAGGGTGCAGGCCGGGCTGAGCCTCCTCACCCCCCCCCCACCCCCGCAGACAAATTTTTCATGCATTGGGCCTCTTGTAAGATTATAATGGAGCTGAAAAATTCTTATCGCCCAGTGATGTCATAGCTGTCATAACTTTCTAAAGAAACTCATTACTCACATGTTTGAGTAAACAAACCTACTGCACTGTCAGTTGTATAAAAGTATAGTATAGGCCATTATATATAGTACATAATACACGATATGACAATACACAACTACATTCTGAAGTGTCTGGTACATAAAGAATGCACTACAATTATTTGTAGAATGATTTATAGAATTTTAAAAATTACGTTTCATTTAAAATTTATTTTTTAAACAAATGAAAAAATGGTTCATTGTAATTACACAATTTTTAGGAAAAAAATTAGTTAAGAAACATGTACAGTATACAGGTTTAAAAAATGCATATAACACAGAAAAAGGCCTCTGTGCTTGTCTATGAACACTTTCTGCCTTACTCTTAAGTGGCCTATCAATTCTAAAACCATAACTAACAAAATAGCTATATAAACATTCTGAGTGCCACAGAAATGAACTGCATGAATTTAGCATTTCTTTGGCAACCTCATCTTTCCATAGATATCATCTTGTGCTACCCACAAATGAGAGACCTGTCAATAACAAAACTTCATATATAATTGAAACACAACTGTTTAAATGAAAACAAAAATTGATCAGTTTTCTTAGGCATAGTTAGGTTTTAACATTGGAGAATAAAACATTCTTTCACCCATACACCTACAGTTTTTTTAATCAATCTCAAGTTTGGTCTAGGACTAACATCTCTGCAAATAAACAAGGTCTTTTCAAGCAGCAGCCCATGCAAGTATATTATGAAGAGGCTATAGACTGAAGGGTCCCTGAGGATGAATTTGGGGGTCCCTTCTCTCTGCTTGTGGGAGTGTCCCAAGAAGCTCCAGGGTTCCTGCAATGTAAGAGGTGAATTTTCTTTCTCTTACTCTAACCTCATGTAAAACTAAACTACTCTCCTCAAACTTTGAAAATCAGTATCCTTTGATATTTTTAAACAAATAAGTTGTTATAGAATATTTAAGTAATCTGTATAAATACTCTTTCTCAAAGAAGCACAGAACAATAGAAATTAAAAAAAAAACTACAAGAAAGTGCAGTGCTTCCTACTTAGATCCCTGACCACTCTTTCTTGAGGGGTTCTTAGGATATCGATGGGCTCCTTGGGGCCATCACTGGGAAAAGAGCAGCAGGAAAGTGCCAGATGCATAATGCGGAGCTGTTCACTAAGCAAAAAGGAGCCCTGAGATTTGGTACAACCACTTTCTCCTTTTTTCACAGAATCAGGAAAGCACATTAGTTTCCTGGGAATCCCTTACATATAGATGGAGCTGAAAGGACTTCACATCAGTAGCATCCCAAGTTGAAAAGCCCCCAGAAGCTGACCTCAGCACTCAACCCAACATAGTAGCTTTCCCTGTTTCTTCACCAGTGAAATCATTCTTTCTCTTATAAGAGGCAGTCACCTTAGGGTTTCTATTTGAATAACTTCTATTTGGAATTGCATCAGAACCAGCATCAAGCACACCAGCCTCACTTTTGTTATCACAACATTCTATAAGGCAGACCACCCTTAACAGGCCATCAGAATTACCTGGGGAGGTTGTTTAAAATACTGTAGATTCTAGAACTCCATTCCCAGAAGTTCTGACTCAGTAGGTCTTGAGTCTGGTATGAGAATTGCATTTTCAACAGAGCTATCCTGGTGATTTTGATGGAGGTAATATGAGGCCCAAAATTTGAGTAACACTGACTTTACAAAAAGAGGCCAGAATTGCTTCTTTCCCAGAATAAAATCCAAGGCTGCCAGACTTCCTAAAGGGTCTTCCTTGAAGAAGTGTCTGGTGAAGATGTCATCTAGACTCATCCTCAAGGACTCAGAGAGTGAGTTTCCATGGTGCCCAATTCTTTAAGTGAACCAAAAAGTGGGTTCACACTTGGCTGGACTTGAGGAGAGGTAGCAAAATCCCAAAGTACCAGGAAAGTTCTGGTTGCTTCTGGTTTGAGAGCCCACAGTACAACTTTTCCTTTTCCCTTCTTCCTTTTCACTGTTGCCGAGTTAAAGAAGCCAAATAGACCCACACAGATAATATGTTGTTTGGGTATGTGTGAATATATACGGCAAGAGCAAATTCTGTCTGGGGAAATTCTGAGGAGTGGATTCCAGTTTGATACATGGCATCAATCACTGACTGTATATTAGTGTATGGCATCTGGATAGGAAATCCTTCAATCTGGACCAAAAGACAATAACATGTAAACCCGTATTACAATCATGTAAGTCATTATATGCAAAAAGGTTACAGAAGCCTCAAAGAAACTGGAGTCATAAAATAATAATAGTAATTTTGTGGTTGCTTACTAATTTCCAGGTACAGTGCTAAATGCTTCATATATATATTTAATCTTCAAACAACCCTATATGGTAGGTTTTATTATAATCCCTATTTTACAAAGAGGACCAAAGCCAGGCTGTCTGAGGCCAGAGCTGCACATTAGCATTCCACATTCTTTTTTTTAAAATATATTTTATTGATTTTGTACAGAGAGGAAGGGAGAGAGATAGAGAGCTAGAAACATCGATGAAAGAGAGTCATCGATCAGCTGCCTCTTGCACATCCCCCACTGGGGATATGCCCGCAACCAAGGTACATGCCCTTGACCGGAATCGAACCGGGGTCCCCTCAGTCCCCAAGCCGACCCTCTATCCATTGAGCCAAACCGGTTTCGGCGCATTCCACATTCTTGCCCCCTTTCTAGAATAGCAAACTGCACTTGGTCTTACAAATAAGGATTTAAGTGAGCATTTTGGAAGAATTTATTTAACATTGATTCCATTTATATTTATTAACTGATAACCGTGAGACAGCATTAAAGGGTAATGGAACACAGACCTATGTAAAATTATCTAAGACAAAACATAAACCTTCTTCAGGCCTCGGAGATTGTTTACTTCAGGAGGCTTCCCCTGATCCTTAAATCTGTTCACATGCTCTTTCCTTATGGTGGCACTGTCCTTCCGTAGCTTACATACTAAAATATGTTTCAATTAGGTACATGTTTTCTAGTCAGTCTAGCCCATAGTCTCTGTGAATGCACAACCCGTAACACATAGAATACAAATAATGGTTAACATATACAAACATTTGCTGGATGCTAGGGTAAATATTACCTCACTTTATCCTCACCATTGCAACCACAAAACAGATAATTATTTCTATCCCTAATTATCTTGCCCAATGGGGTAGAAAATGTAGAGATGTTAGACAACTTGATCAAAGCTAGCGAGTGGCTGAGACAGGATTTGAACCCTAGCTACAGGACTTAGTGCAGGTTTATGATTGTGTGCTATTAAGTCAGATTATTTTACAAAGGAACTATATGGCAGGTTTTAAATCCTGCCATATATTTAACTATGTTTTGCTTATCAGTTTACTCCCTACCCCCCCCCCCCTTTTTTTTTAAACAAAACAAAACAACTTCTTCCCTATTCTTGAATAGTGACTGCAGATCCCTTTCTGGCAACCTAAATACTCAAATCCCAATGGATTCCTTCCTTCCTTCTCTCAGAGGAACCATATTCTACGAGATAGTAGGAGATAGAAATCTTCCTCTTGGGAGGCTGGGCATTTTGAAAACCCACTGAACCAGTCCATAGGGAGAACTAGGGGTAGGGTAGGAGAAGAAAAGGGAAGATTCTAATAATGTATCCAATGCCCACTATGCTTGCTTATGGACTTGATGAGTTTGAGATGCCTTTTTATCATCTAGGATGATGTCAAATGTGTTGGCGAATATATAAGAAGTCAAAGAGAGTAGCTGAGGATGTGTGTATAAATTTGAGAGTAATTTGAATATAGAGGATTTTAAAGCTTGCCTGAAGTCCTCTTTCCCAGAACCAAGGACAGGAAATCGTTCTATTACCACCATCTAGAGACCATTTTTTAGTATCTCACTTGCAGGTGGATTTCTTTTGGGCATCTCTTTCCAAAGATTGTGGTTTACATGTCACACAACATAAGACTGATTCAAGGAAATGCCATGTAATGTGGCCATAGTAAGAGCTGTCCATTATATTTTAAATCTCTTGATCTATAAATAAATGCATTTTAATGACATAGCATCTGTTATCTAGGATCAAGATAGGCACTTCAGAAATATTTAAGATTACTATTACCTGGCAATTAGCAACATAGATAAAACAAATTACATTAATGCATTAAATCCTGTACAAACCCAATAAAATTGTAGTAGTCTTTCAAATTCACTCTCTTCTTCAGAGGAAACAAAGCTTTCAGTACCAACTTCTAGCTTAGGAAGAATGTGTCGCAAAATAGAAGTACACTGTCGATTCCAACGTGTTGGCTGCTTAGGTCGCCATTCCATAATTTTACATTTTAGAATCCTTTCAATCCTACAATGATTATATTTATGACAACGTGAGAAGTTTTGTCACTTCTTGCTTTCACTCAAGCATGAGGATGATACATTTTTTTTATTTAGGAGGAAACAAGACCGCTATGACTAGAAATAACTGCCATCATTCACATTAATCAAGTCTGGGAGAAGCAGGCTCTTGCTTGGCTTGGGAAGACAAGAAGCTTCCAGGGATATCCAGCAATAAGATTTCAAAGGCACATCTCTTTTCCAGTTACCTATGTGTAGGCTGCTACCTACAGATATGATTTGACATCTACTGTATGATTACTGGATTGACATTCTTATTCTCCAAGACCCTCCTTTGACATAAGACATTGGGTTTCCAAGAGGAAACTGCCTTTACAAAAATTCAGATATCTAGCCTGGGATAATGTTAGCAGGGATATGTTTACTAGATCAGTTAACTGAGTAAGCAGAGTTGGGAGGAAATGAGGCACTGGATTGGTAAATATGATGACCAGTTTCCCCAAAATAATGTACATTCCATAAGAGTGGGGATTTTTGCCTGTATGCTCTGCCCCAAAAACAATGCCTGGTGATGAACTATTCCAGGAAGGGAGAGAGGTGGGGCACAGTGTGGGCTGGCTGATGGGGTTTCCTGGGAAGCCTGTCCTCTGTGTAGAATCAGGATGTGCTACAGAAGAAGCTTCTGGGAGTCCCCCTTGGCTGAGTCTGTAATGTAACTAAGTAGTTTGGAATTTACAGAGTCTCATTAGTGGCTAGGCATCAGAATCACCTGTAGTCCTTGATCAAAATGTTTCACCTCCAGATATGGATTTAATAGGTGTGATCTAGGGCCCTGAAACATATGTTTAAATAGCTCAGGAAGTAATTCATATTAAAACTAGAAGTTGGAAACCATTTCCAAATTGCATTTCTTCCTTTTTTGTTAAGAATTGGAAAAGAAGCGGGTTGGGGGAGGAATAAGAGGTAGGCATTGAATGGTAGAAAAGAAGAGAGTGACAAAATGTTTGTGTCATGTTCTGTTTTGATTAGTTGGCAGTGGCTTACATACCAGCTATGTCAGCATGAGTCACTGGAGGCAGTCAGATCTAGAAGCTTCTGACACATCTGGAGTAGGAAAGGCCTGCTGCAAAGATTGTGGGCTTGACTGAACAACTCCTTAGGGTGTGTGTGTGTGTGTGTGTGTGTGTGTGTGTGTGTGTTTTGGGAAAGGCAAGAGCCTAGGAGAGACAATATTGATGTTTCTACCACCCACCTTGGATGTTTTTACCAACTTGTGGGCCATGTATCGTCATGTCCTTTCAAGAAGTATTAGTTGTGGCATTATTACTATAAGCTCAACAGATGCCTGTGTTGAGAACTTCCCAATAGTAGCCTACAATTTTTATCAACCATTTTTAACTTTGCCTGTCATGTCAAAGAGCATCCTGGATAGCAGAGAAGTTGCTTTTCAATGCATGTATCAAGAGGCAGATGACTCAATGGAAATAACTATTTCAATCTCCACTTCATGCTTCTGTGGCTGAATCAATAGGTATTTTGAGAGACTGGTTTAGAGTGTAATGGAGTGAAATGCTCAACCTCTCTGACTCCATCTTGTTCAAGCCTGCTGTGTTCTTGCATATAGACATGTTAATCATTAGAGGAATTCTGCTTGCAGCTTGAGTATTTTTTTTAAAAAAACTCCCTCTCCCTTCCTCTTTGAAATCAACATATATATTTTTAAAGGTGGCTGAGGGAGTATTTAAGGTCTTACTACTCAACATATGTTGTTAGTTTGGATTAAATAAACTCTTATAAAATTTTTAAAAGATGGATGAATGAGAGATTAGGGAGAAAACCTGGTAATCCTAATGTAATTTTACAGATCATACCTGTTCTTTAGATCATCTACCATGCTTTTGTTAGTATCAGAATAAATTATTTCTTCAGGCTGAAATAAAGACAACTGAAAGTTAGAGAAGATTCTAGGGAGACCAATTTTCCATCACATTCACCTCTGGAGTGCTAACTATAATGAGGGGAAACCCAAACCTCTCTCATGTGGTGAAAACATTGAATCACAGAGGCACTAAGGTAACATAGATCACAGTGCTTTCTCTGATTTTATGACCACTTCACCAGAGCATTGGAGGGGAGTTAGATTCACAAAATAGATTTTTCATGGGTAAGACCAATCTGCTGCCCCTAATTCATTTATTCCAACAAGCATTTGGCATAATTATTACCAGATAATCTTTGGCAGCTGCACAGGTATCTTCCAATTATTAACTGTGACCTTGGTGAAGCTACTTAAGCTGTCAGGGTTTCAGTCACCATGTTCTTTTTTTAATTTTCTTTAAAATCATTTTAAAATTTACTTATTTACTTATTAAATTGATTGGGGTGATACTGGTCAATATAAACATAGAGGTTTCATGTGTGGATTTCTATGTTACAAAATCTGTACGTTGTACTGTGTGCCCACCACCCAAAATCAAATCTATCACTTCATATTAGCATCCCCTTCTTTAAAAGAGGGACAATAATAGTACCTATTTCTCTGGGGGGTTGTGACAATTTTAAAATAAAGTAATACATGTAAAACCTGGCATATATTGCCCAGTAAACATCATATATTGTTATTGTCACTCTTTTAACATGGTTTATCCTCTTTATTCTTTGTGTATTTGCTTCTTTCACCTGGTAAGAGCCAGATTTTTGCGTAAGAACACACACACACACACACACACACACACACACACACAGAGTCCATTTCAATTTCCCCTGTCCCCAAGCCTTTCCTTGGGCACCCCACCTATAACAGAGAGCGATGCTCTACCATGTTTCCCCCACCAGTAGGATTTGCTGGGAGGAGGGCAGGGTTTCTCATGTGTACCCCACCCCCACCCTAAACCCAGCCCCCCTCCCTGCAGAGCTCACAGGGATTAGAGGAAAGTACTGAATTCACAGTTTTTACTCTGGGTATTTCTGAGCTGAGACATGGAGACAGATGGAGAGACAGGAACAGATGTTTCTCTCTCATGAGTGGAATGAAGGTTGTGATTTAAAAAGGGGCAACACTTGTTAGACCTCTAGGTCTTAGAAATTTCAGGAGTGATTTGAGAAGACTCAGTCTGTCAGGTGATGATCTGAATTAGAGATTCAGTTTCTCTGCCCCCACCTCAGATTCACTGAATCAGAAACTCTGAGGACAAGGCCCAGCAATTTGTGTTTCAACAAGCCCTCCAGGTGGTTCTGCTGCCTGCCATGGATGGAACCGCTATACGAGGAAATAGAGTCAGGACTGGGAGTTTCCTACAATAGAACATGGCGGGAGATAGGAGATACTGGAGAAAGGAAGTATGAAGTCCAACATCATCTTGCAGGGATCACCAACTATTCCAGACAGGACAGGGAACTGAATTTCCTGATTGCTGTCACCAACTACTGTCTGCCCCTCCAACCCATGGCCCTCTCCCAATCCCCTGCTCCCTCTTTCCCAACCCCCAATCCAGGCAATTTGTGGATTAGTTAGGTCCCCCTCACACCTGAGAAAGAGGCCTGGGCTACACTGACTTGACAGATTTATAGGTGTTAATTCACTTTCCTTTTCTGGCATAGACCCTTTCTTTCAGGGAATTCATATCCTTTAAAACTTCAAGAGGACTTTCTTGTTAACTCATCTCTTAATCTCCACATTCTCATTACTAGTATGCACACTCAAATTTGTGTTCTCAATTGTGATAACAAACATAGGGTTCATTACAGATAGGAGTATTGTGATGTGTGTGTGGTAAGGCAGAAGGTTAAGGGCCATTACCTACAGGGAAAGAAATCAGTAGAGATTTAGGCAACTATGAGTTTTACATTTATCGATTCAATTTGGCAAAAGGTTTAGATTCCTCCCTGAGACAGACTGGCTTTTAAAAACACAATTTTGATGATGGCAGCCCTTGCCTTGGTAATGTTAGTTTCTGATTGCCTTGAGGATAAAGGCCCAAATCCCTACCAGGGCTCAGCTCACCCCTGAGCTCATCTCTGCTTGCTCCCTGGCAGCAGCCAAGCTGGCCTTTCAGCTCCTTGACAGACAGCTCCTAGCTACTGCACCTCTTCATGCCTGCTGTTCCTGCTCTCTGCTGGGACCATTCTCTTTCCTGATGATTCTAGGCCAACTCCTGCTCCCCCTTCCTCATTGTGCTGATCATCACTTTCCCCCCAGGAAGCCCCTGTACCTCTCCTTCCCATCAGGTCCCCCAGCTCTGTGCCTCCCAATGCACATTCATTTCTGTGATAGCACTTATCACTCTGCACCGAAAGTGCTCGTTTCCTGCTGTTTCTTTCTTTAGAACACAAGTCCCAAGAATACGGAGACATTTCTCCCTGGTAGCCATCCCTAACATAGAGCTGGTTCATAACAGGCACTCAACAAATATTACCTGGATGAACAATGAAATGATTAATAGTAAATAAAAAACCTCATCTCTAAAAATATTATTTCCCCTAGAAGACAATAATGTCTCCCTCATGGCATTGGGATGGGAAAAGCAAGATATGGCCTGTGGATGCTATAAATGTGGTTTGCTCAAGAGAGATAAGCACATTTCCCCTCTTTAAAATAACTGTACAAACAGGAAATATATAAATATATGTATACTTGTACATATATAAATATATAAAGCATATAAATATATGCTTGTAGCTGCATGGAAAATGTTTATAAGGATGCACAGTGGGAAAAAGATTTGGAAGAGGAGAGAAATTTGTCACTTTTTTGTTTGTTTGTTTGTTTGTTTTTTAATCCTCAACCGAGGATATTTTCCCATTGATTTTTAGAGAGAGGGAAGGACAGAAATACTGATGTGAGAAACACATCAATAGGTTGCTTCCAACACGCGCCCCAACTAGGATCTGGGGCCTAAGATGAGGAGGAGCCTGCAACCAAGGTACATGCCCTGACTGGAATTGAACACGGGACCATTTGGGCTGTGTTTTATCCACTGAGCCAAACCAGCTCGGGTGAAACACATCACTTTATATGCTTTGGTACTATTTGATCTTTCCCCCCAAACCAGCATGCATTCTTTCTGATATTGTAAAGTGTCTCAAATACGGTATACAGATAAGAACAGAGACTAAGGTAATCTACATCCACACATTCCTACAACCTAGTTTTATATAATCTTTTGCATTCCTTCACGTTTGATTTAGATTTTTAATAAAGAAGCAAACAGTACAGAAAAACTTGAAGTACTCTGTGTACCTCTCTCTGATTTCATTCCTTTTATATTTTCCCAAAAGTAACCTTTAACTTAAATTTGGTATTTGTCCTTCCTATAAATGTTATACAGAATATATATATATATATATATATATATATATGAATATATATATATATATCCAGATGAACAAATGCAGAAATATAGAAACAATAACATTACATTTTTAATATTCATTCATGATGTACATGGCTCTGAGTTAGTGGTTCTGGTTGCACATTGGAATCACTTGAAAGCTTTATATAATACTGATGTGTGGGTTCTACACTCCCTCAGAGATCCTGATGTGATGAATGTACAGACAAGTTGGGAACTATTGTAAGTTGGGTCATACATTCTTTTCCTGCTCTATAGGAGTTTTCATAGTATGAATACTTCACAACTCAAAAACAATTTTCTAGTTGATGAATTGTTTCCATTTTTTTTTCTATTTTAAGCAATTCTGTAAGGAATACAGTTGTGCTTGTCTCCCTGGTAAGTTCCTATACGGTATGTACTTGGAAGTTGAATTGGAGCAATCAAGGGTTGAGCATCTTCAACTTTACAGATATTATATTACTTTCCAAACTGTTTATAGTAATGTATGTTCACACCACTTCTCTGCCTCTTTGCTAGCACTTGGTATGTCACACTTAAAAATATTTTTGTCAAACTTATGCATGTTTTAAATTGTATTTCCCTGGTTATGGGCGAGGTTGAGCATTCAAGTTTCTGCTTCTTTAAAATGTCTCCTGCCTATTTTTCTATTGCTCTTTTCTCTTTATCTCATCTCTCTCTCCCCTTGGGCTCATAACTCCCAGTTTTTGGATTTTGCACTTGCCTACAGCCTGCCATACCATGACCCTCAACCTAGAAACATCTGTAGAAATGGACTTTGGGATACTGAGTACAAAGGGATACTGGGCATGTCACAGGTGTACTGGCTGACCGATCTGGTGATTGAACCTTTTCCTAAACTTAGGTCTGTGCTTTGGTTTGCCTCCAAGACAGAGAGTGTGCCACTTTCCTTCCCCATTTTCTCAAGACTAGTCCATATTCAGGCTGGATGGCAGGGAAAACTAGATTTTATTAATATTGCCAAATAAGTCAATAAACAATCAGCTATATAAACATAACAAGAGCTGTCACAACTAGTAAAGATTAGAACCAAGGGTAACTTTGATACTGACACACCTGGAAAACTGTTTACCTGTATGCTTTGTGCCTGTGTCCCTTGAAAATTTTTTGGAAGCAGCTGTTTCCAGAAACTTTCCTTTGAATAGTCAAAATATATAGCCATTGGTGTACTATTTTGTTGAATATTAAACCAGACCTATTAAAACATTAACATACAATCAGCACAGACCCTTGAGAGCCCAAAGCCCATAGCTGGTTAGATGAAGCAAAATTTTACAGTCCTGCTACCCAATGAAGAAGTGGCAGAAACCAAAGGAGGTTCTGAGGAAGAAGTTAAAGACATTCTAGGCTTACATGAGCAATAGACTGCTCACTGTTCCTCAACAGTGGAGGCACTTCAGAATCATGGGGTAGGGGCTTCAGGGATAAAATATTTTCTTGGCCCTACAACCCAGGGATTCTAATTAAACTTTTATATATTTCCAAAGTTCTTCACGTGATTCCAATGGATAGCCAGGGTGAAGGATCACTAATTTGACTCAAGAAGATAGCTCAAAGTAAGATTTCCCCCCATTACTTACATTTCCATCATCAAACAAACAGTCTACACTTTGTAAAGGACAAAATGGGTCAATTTGCTTATGACATTGACCAGTTAATGGGTTCCAAAGCAAATATTCATCAGTTTCATGAGTTAATACATAAGCTACGCGTCCCTGTATGAGGAAAAGAAGGTAAAGTCATTTGGTTGAGTAATTAACGCACTTTTTAATGTGAAAATTATTATGTAAGCATATGACCTTGTTGATTTCTGCAAGCCTCTTCTAGGGCCTTTACAATTTTTTGGGGGAAAAAAAACACAAAAAAAACCCAGAGCTCCAAAAATCCTTAGGCCCAGGCTGGCATGAGGATGCAAATGACAGGACTCCTGAGCCAGTGCTGCCCGGTATGGCCCTGCAGGAGTTCTCTCACCGGGATTTCCCAACAGCTGGTCCGAAAGTGTATGGGGGTTGGGGCACTGTTGTCTAATTCACACGTTGGTGCTATATGAACCAACCCCGACCACACTCCCTTCTCACCCCCCCAACCTCCTTCCCTTTGAGTAGAATACACTTAAGAGACTAAGGGGTGAGCACCAAACAGAGTTAGGGAATAGAAACTGGCCTAAGGCTCTGAAAAAGCCAAGTGAAATAAAAAAAAATAAATTAGTTTTGAGAACAAGATCGGGAAACCATTTGAGGAATAAATGTCATTATGTTAATATATTTCTCTGCACATACCTTTTGAAGTGCAAATCTTTCTTAGCAAAGAATAAAAATTTCAGGTAATAATTATGGCTATTTGCCATTTATTGAGTATTTGGGTGCATCAAATAATCTCTCAGCATTAACACCAATTTTCTTGCTTTGATTCACTCCAAATTCTGTGAGGTAGGGATGATTATTATACTAATTTTTCAGATAAAAATATCAGATGTTAAGGAGCTTGTCTAGTGGAACAGTAAGTGGTATTATTCGTGTTTGGGGAAGAGGTAACTGAACCTCAGAGAAGTAGCAAAGAATGAGATCACACACTTAGTAAATGGTATTACTGTGTTTTAAAACCCTCTCTGACCAGCCCCCAAACCCATACTCTTAACACTGCCCTGTATTGCCTTGTTTCCCTGACTTCAAAGCTCTTGTTCTTTATGATTGTGTGTGTCTCCTCCACAATGAAGAGGAGGCTTCACCTCAACCACAGAGCTGAGGGGTACCACTCATGATACTGACTCACAGGTCTAAAACCAACTGTTAGTTGAAATATTGATGATTGTTGCCATCTAGCGGCACTTAGAGCAACAACAGGAACATATGGGGAAATTAACCATAGGCTTTTAGCTAACACAATCGTGACACAGATATAAGCTGTCAAGGGAATATAAAGAAATACGTGATCATGGGGGGAAAGAAAACCCACCATAAAACAAGACTGGAAATTTTGTCACTGATTAATATAATCAGCTTAAAGTAGAAACAGAATGTAGACAGCTTTCTGGAGGTATGACCACAGTATATAATTAAGTTGTAAAAATTTCAGACATGGGAACATGAATTTCTGGCCCATTTTTACAAGTAAAAACTGAGCAGTGGAGAATAGGGAGATATATTTCTTAAGGATCTTAAAATATAATATTTGAAACATCTAAAGATAATGGTGGTGATAGTAGCTAACAACTACTACAACTACTACTGTAACTATTTCTACATCACTACCACCACCACCGCTATTGAGCACTCACCATGAGTAAGTGCTCTCCCAGTGCTATATATTTACTATGTGATTTAATATTTCTAGTAACCCCATGAAGTAGAACTATTATTAGAGAAGAAAAATAAAAGGAAGTCATCCTTTACAATGTAGAACATTTGATGAAGCAACATTATCCTCTTAACTAAATAATTGCTTGCCCACAAAATTCCTTAATTAGCTTGTGAAATAATGGTAACCTGGGGCTGCAGTTCTTTAAACCTGCAACTAATGGCTGATTCTTTTTATTTACACGATTTAAATGTTAACTCAAGCACTTACTTCTAAAATTGAGGTTCCCAGAAGGACCAAAGCTTTCTTTCCGAAATACAAAAAGAAATTACAGAGAAGTATGGCATGCTCCTCCCTATTCCCAATAGCCAAACTGATGCAGCGCTAAATGAAAGTAACAAGAACAAAAAGAGGTGAGGAAGAAAAAGTTGAGTAATGCAATTAATATTAGGACAACTGCAAAGCTTG